CAACAAATGTACGACTTAATCAGCAATGGTACTAGCTGTCGCTCAAAAATGCCGAGAGCTCGCCTTAAAAGCCTCAAATTTCAATTGCGCCACTTGCTGCTTTCGGAAACTGAAGCGAATTGCCCAGACCTTTTTGCACGAAGATACTTAATTCGCGTTCACTAGTCACGTGTTGCAGGACGTGTTGCCTCAAAAGGTATGTGGTGACGAAGCTGCTGTGCACCATTAGCAGGTGGAACTTTGCAGGTTTCAGTTAGAGCTGGTTGCATTCTGCCCATTCGCTAATCCGAGCCACCTCGTCCTAAAAATAGACACGGTCGAATGCTGAGCGAATTGCTCTCCATATTTTAGCTTCCGAGCATATTTGCATCAAAGATGGAATGTTTGCTGGAAGGTCATTGGTATAGGCTAAAATCAGTAGACTATGGAGGACGGCTCCTTTGGGTACATAACTTGATACGCATAGGCTTTTGAAGTGAGTGTCGGCTACTCTTACGTCGGGAGCGTCTATTTCTCTTCAAATCTTCACGTTCTCCGGCGACCGCAGAAACTGAAGTAGATCGCCGATGGGGACAGGAACGGAGTAGGTCCCAGCACAGTGTTTTGAGGCAGACCACTTGTAGAAAGATACCAGTAAGTTACATGGTCGTCAACCAGTACCCTCCACTTTGGTCCAACAAGAAAGTCACGGATCCACTGGTGCAGTGAGCCACAGACACTGCACATCCTGAGTTTTTAATGAGAACCTCATGGCTGACCTTCTCGAACGCTTTACTGAAATCGATCAGTATCACGTCGAAAGACTACCTCTCGCCTATTGTCTTCAACCACTCCTGCCTCGTCACAAGCAAGTTTGTAATGCATGAGCCACCCTGCACAAAAGCGTACTGTGCTGGAGTCAGGACCGCTTTTGACTGTAACAACCACAGTAATCCCTTTTTTGATTTTCTCAACAACCGTCGCCAAAATAAGGGTCATACAAATTGGCCCGTAGTTGTCTACTTTTCTAGGGTCGCCGCTTTTCGGAATAGGCTCCATCAACAAACATTTGCAATCAATCGGTAAAGAACTTTCGGACATCGATATGTTGAAAAAGTCATTCACTACAGGAGAGATGATTGCCAAAAATGAGTTTAGAATCAGTGGGTGAAGCCCATCAGGACCAGCAGGTTTGATGCCGTCAATGCTGGCGAGTAGTTGACATGCATCTTCAACACGGCAATCCAGACTGTCGAGTTCAGTAAAAGCGGTACCCGTCAAACTCGAAACAGACACCTGATCGTTTGAAAAAAAGAAGTGAAGCGCGCCGCCAAAGCGGACGCAAGTTCAGTGCTGGAGATTAGGGTCTGTCTGTCCGGGCCATCCAGTGCTGGTACATCACCTGCCGGCTTCAGATGTCGCTTCACGTAAGCAAAAATTTTGTGGCGACCTTCGGTTCCACAGCAGCAGTTATTATGCCACTGACTGTCTTGAGTGGGGTATCCCGGGCTTAAACTTTCTTTTGCTGTTCACATATCTGTACAGTAGTTTAGTGTTACTCCTAATCTTCAACATGTTGGTCTCCTGCCATTCGTACTTGTCGACTCTAATGGGTGACGTACAGTAGTTTCTGATTGCTTTGTAGTTCCGCCATATTGTATCACATTAGCTTAGCGGATGTTGCCTCCAGATATCATCTCTTCCGTTGATCCTTTTAGGGGTACTGATTTGGATCCACCTATTTTTTCGGCGCCATGATCTCAATGTTACAACTTTTGATGCTGATTGTATGACCCAGTTAACTCTACCTTTTACTTCATTCCATTCGTATGTAGGTCTCAGTCAACGGTTCTAGCTAAGTTATGAATCTTCAAATAGTCCGGTAATAGTTTGCTAAGTTTCTCTTACTTTATCAACTGTACTGGCATAGCACAAAACAAATGTTATAATTGAATGGTTGCTACGGCCCGAGGAGGGGCATGCGCTACTGACTCAACCATCAACTCTTCATTCGTCAGAATTAAAAGCAGGAATTATGGCTTGTTTGAACCGCAGTGTCTGGTTGGTTGGCGCATATGGTTATAAAAAACCGCCACGTCTAAGAATTCAAGGAGGTTCGTTTTAAATGACGGCCCAGTAGGGGACACTAATGTTATTGAAGGCAGAAGTCGTCCAATATAAGATAGCCTTATTGTTTTTGTGAAACAACATAGCGAAGGGCCTTTAACAGTATGCCATCGCTGTCTGCTGACGAGTTCGGAGGACTATAGATATCTGCTAAGAGGCAAGCATCACAAGTCTTCCTCTGTGATCCAAGCTCTCGACCTGCAATGTGCAGTCGGCAAAATAATGCGCCGGGAACAACAAGGGAATGTTCGGTAAGGGCCTCACATTTCAAGTAATCTCGATAATAACTGGCAACAACGCCACCGTGAGATAGACGATCATTCCAAATGACTGACATTTCACTGCGTTTAATTTCTGTATCAAGCATGCGGTTGGGAAGCCAAATTTAAGTAACTGCTATGAGGTCCCCAAGTTGTTGTTTAATGTCGATGGCACGGTTCTGAGAGCTTAGAACACATAGCTTTGTGTTGATATAGCAGCATAGTATTTTTCGACGAATTAAGAGCCGGGTTCGCTGTGAGTGACCGGCACAAATAGCGCCGGTCTGCTGACTTGTTTGAAACCGGTGTATGTAAGCTTGGCTGGTAAGAGATAAGTACAGCGGAGACTGGCTCATCTGTGTCTGGGGTAGGTACTAAATGAAGGAGTGGTCTTAACTGTACTTCTGTTTGCCCAAGTTTCCTGTGGTTTTTCCGCGCATAGATCGCCACTGGTACCATTACGGGCGCATCTGAGTTAACTCAAAATGTTTGGTCCGCTGCCCTCGTAGTTTGTGTTGGCAACTAGACAGTTAACATTAAAAGCCAAGACATTCTGTATGCCTTGAAGCACTGTGATGTACTTCCAATCTTCATGCCTTACTTTTGCGTTCACTGTTATCGTCATGCTTCATTGCTGACACATCATGAACCAGTACCACTTTCTTCATCTCATTTTGATGTGGCCCACTAGGGTTGGATTTCCGCTTCCTTCTTTCTGCCCAGGGACTGTCACGAAAAATATGGGTACTGCCAAAAGAGTTCACTAGAATGCTTTTGCTAAGAGAACGTCCTCGAGGTCAAGTGAATCGGTACATGTTACTCGCAGTAACAGAGGTTCCCCTATGGGTGGAGCTGATGACTTTCGTGAAATGGGTACATGGCTAGTTAGGAGAACTTTCTGTCAGAGTATGCAGGTTATTTACTCCCACTTGTTTTGCTCCTCAGCAAGTCTACTGTTTTTCGATTTGCTAGTGGGTACTGGAACGTTTGAACCTATCACTATCATAGCCTTTTGGTTGCATAGTAGCTGTCTGTTCTGTGCTTCCTTGTGAACGGAGATTTGTCTTGTGGGAATGATTATCTCTTTTGTTGTGGAAAACAGGCCAAGGCTACAGTAAGGCTATCTATGTAAAACGCGGTTGCTTCCATTATTTTTAGGAGTCTAGTGTCATGGCCCAGCTGATAACGGAGATGCTCGCGAAATTGGTGTATACCTTCGCATATTTTGCAGGATTTCTCGCGATTTGGGAGACCTATCGGCCTACCTGTTCTCATTGCTATTTGTAACAAATATTATCCGTTTTCACTGGACTGTGTAGCATCTTTGCTTGAGAGTTTGGCTCTTTTGATAGGTCGTGGATTGGCATTATGCAATCGGCAATTTGAGTCCGGAGATTTTCCCTCCCAATACCGCGATCGAATCCTTTTGCTCTACTGACCTAGCTACTAACGTTTCACTTTCATCGTAAGCGTTTGAACAATCTTAGCTATGGGACTAGCTGAACATACCTCACAGAACAGCAACGTATCTATCGACAGGCTGCTCTTATCACTACACTAGGTTCATATTTGTTGCGTCCTAGGTATTAGCACACAGGGAGCACGGCAATCTTGAGATCATCCCTGTTATTAGCTTGCCTGCACTGCAACTGATCTTGGGTTTGTTGTTTACCCGAGTTCCGGTGGACAAAATTCTCCGTCCCCTGGTTAGATACTTGATATGAACATTTAGATCACGCTGGTCACACTGTTTGAGTTGCCTCAATTGCAGCCTGTTTGGCATGAGCTGTCGTCATGTCAGCAGGTTTTGTAATGATGCTACCTCGGCGTATGGGTGGAGAAAAATCACACTGGCTTCGTAGAATAAACGCGCGTAAAAATGCAGTGGTGTGTCATACGACGAGATGGGATGTAGCTATGTTGAACAGTTGTACACAATACGATGATATATCCTGTTTGGCAGCCTTAGTGAAGCTCTGCTGGACGGTATCTCAGAGGAATTGAAGAAACTCAAAAATGTTTCACGTGTTAGTCCTAGCGAAGTAATTGCCGAAGAACTCATTTTTTTGTAGAAGCCTCCGTTAGGACTTATTTCAAAAAGAGCGCTGTGACCCTAATCGATTGAGTGTACTTCCAAAGAAGTGACCTAAGACTGTGAAGGAATAAGTCCAATTTAACGTAGATCACAGAATTGCCCTACTGAACACATGCTGACAAGGTCAAGCTCTTGCATTTTAAGATCCACGTCCACTGTCCAATCTAACTGCCACCTTAACAGAATGTGGCACTTACGGAATACGTAGATCTATTTATAGGGTAGGTCAATCAGCACAACATTGAGAGCTTAATTCAAAAGGCGTTCTTACGTTACCGAAACAAGGCAACTGCAATTGTTTTCTTTAAGTTGTGTGCTATTTCTTTATAGACTCAATTATTCACGGAGAAAAGGTTTGTGACTATGATCAAACCGTTCATTTGCTAAAATTCCCTGCGTATACTAAATAATCGCGCATTATACTTACATCACGTTCATGGGTTGAAGCTCTACTTACATGAGCCGTGAAAACAATGCTTTATTCTGTCAACATATGCACAGATTAGCCTGCGGTTCGCATTGCCCACTTTCTCTTGCAGTGGCTGTGTCGTATGCTTTCCACACTGACGACCTTCACGGTGGCGGCCACACACTCTTGGATATTTGTCGAAGCGTTGTTCTTGCACAACACTGTGCTAATCCATGTCCTCAACGAGCGCAGTTGTTCTGTGGTAGTCTACATTGTAACCGGATGGAGTGAGTCATAACACATTTTACTCTTCTGTGACTATAGTTAAGTACCGTTAGCGAAGATCAGTAGTGTATTGCTGAGGAAGTTCAGCGAGAAAATACGCATCACGTGTTTGTGATATTCGCGTCCAGATACACCCAATATTTCATTGATCTTGTAATGAGACTTGGAGCCTAGCGGTTAAATGCCACATAGTTATTACTAAAATATACCACAGCCACACTCTTTAAAACTACTCGCCCCTTTGACAAGGGGAAATCGTTGTATCTACCTACACTAAGCTGACAATGAAAATAATGCTGCTTCCTAGCTAAAAGATGCTAGTACTTACCAAACAACAAGAGAATGTCGCAGGAAAAATTCGATATGCGACACTATGAAAAGTAGGTGAGGGAATAGTTAAATGCGCCGTAAAACTCAGCTTGAAATTAATCTGTGTAGTAAACCGTCAACATTTTGTTGATGCGTCAGGTAAAGTGGCTATATTGTGTATCAAAGTAGTATAGCGCGTAGTTAAAATGTCATTGGTTATCTGCTGTATTACATAGTGGCACTACCAATTCCCAACGGATCCCTGGACCAGTGATTCAGCAGATTTTTAGTCCATATATATGTCCTCTGAAATGTTGTTGACTGCTCAGCAGTCCTGCGAAATACCGAGTAAGCAGCCACCATGACGATGCACCGTTTCAAATTGGATGCAACTCGAAAATAAAGCTAACTTACTAATGAGTAGGAGGAATGCTGCTGAAAATGTACGCAGACGACCCAACTGGTCACAAGGCACCACTAAGCTGAAAAGCTCCGGACAGCCATTTTCCCTGCTGGAGCTCGTAATTGTTGTGCATTCCTCGGGTCCCATTCAGGGCACTGAACCCATGATCGCTAGTGGCTAGCAAAAGATAGCCAGCAGTTTTTGTCTCTGAGACATGGGGGTGGCAGCATGTCGGAACTTGATAGATAACTGATCAATAAAATCAGCTGTTGATCATGTTCTTTGGTGACATTGATAGATATTTGAATATCGTCAACGGAACCTAGGAATTCGAAACGAATCTACCTGATGAAAATCTTAATTATCACCGGGCTTTTGCTATTTTGTCGATCCTAACTTTGTACCAGTCTGCACACCATCCACCAATCTATAATTGATCGTGTAGTATAATGAGGCCCATTTCGGGTGTTCATGCAATACTGCCCTTTTTGTCCTCTAGGCAGAAGAGAATACATAAGGAAATACATAAATGGTGCTGCGAAGAAATGCGTGCCACAGCCAGCATATTTGTGAATAAAAAGCCCTAATAATTCTAAGTACAAATATCCATCGAAATGTAAAGCAAAACTAGCATTTGGCCGGTCATAATCGCCTAGGCAGCTTAACACAACGAACTCCATCATCTGCATGAATTAATCTATCCGTCGATGAGTGCAACCTACCTTAAACGGAACCGCTTAATTTACCGTAAATAGCTCCGATCACGATATGCCCATTACCTGCCTAAAGACCGCGCACAGTTGAGTGAGCAATGACCGCTTCATGCACAGCGATAAAGCAGCCGTGCCTAAAAGGAAAGTTAGCTCACTGGCAATTTCGCTTGAAAGTGTACATTATAGCCTCACGCAATAGCTAGCAGAAAAAGAAATTGGAAACATTAATGATGAGTCTTTGCATTGTAGAACTCTGATATGCGCTGTCAGCTGTCTACACTATGTAGGCAGACGGAGGGGGCATGAAGGTGAGCGCATCTCAGTAATCTTAGTGGACGGACCAGCTGTTGACTGCAGTGAACAGACTATTATACAGTTCAACAAGCTTGCTTGTCACACAGGTAAGGTAGAAAGGCATACTATAGTTGAAATGTAATTGCAAAGCATAGAAAACCGTTCGTGTGCAATAGCTTCTTTATCATGGGACAGCGGCATATTAGGAATGCTGGTATTTATAGCTGAAATTGGTAAGTTATTGACTACATTACGAATTTTAACCAGCCAACTGAAAGTAACAATTTGCGTTCATATATTCTTTTAAGGCGTTGGTCACCAGTAGTGTACAACTTTTTAGGTTTGGTTAAAAAGAAAAAGAAGAAAACTGTATCTATAAACCAACTTTCCACTACAGAGAAAAGACTTCATTCTGATCGCATTTTCCATGCTTTTCAACCGCCACTTTAGTCATACCAACAATCGTGGGCCTGACTTGGACGCTGCTGAGGATGTACGTCACAACCGGAGCACCCTGTTGGATCCTGGACAATCAGCGTAACAGCCCATCACGTTTACTGGAGATTATCTTTCCTGTGATTATGATCGCAGTAAGTACTGGCTAGTCACAAAACAGGCCATTGTTGCCAATCAATGGCTTTCAGAATAACTTTAAAATTGCTAAAATTTTGGTGTTGCGATTGTCCTTTGTAGGTCCCAGACAAAGTTCACGGTCAGCAGATTTAGGTTAGGCATTTGCAACAGGGTCTTTGAAATTTGATTTCCAAGAACAGAAGTGCCAGCTTAGACTCTTCTATTGTCCAGCCGTTAAAGCTTAAACATTACGCGCTGTACATCTTGTAGAGAAATTATCATTCATGCATTGCAAACGAATTTCAGGTCGCACAAACTGCTTGTAGAATGCAGAACCCCTTTTCTAGATTCATTACAATACGTAGCTTTTTAATTAAGTTGTCGAGGTATAATTTATACTGCAAATTAATGGCGCTTCAGAACTAAAATCGCTGCAGATCGCCTGCCAGATACAGATGTTGGTGCAGTCATTTACTAAGTTGCGTATCTGGAGCGTAGTCTTGTGGTTGCACTCATCAAAAGTCATAAGCAACTGCTATGCAGGCCACGAATTACAAGGCACATGCTTTCAATGGCGTGGAAATAGCTATATTCCGTACATAACATGTTAACTGAGGTTATTGTCATCAAAAAGTTTAAAAACGTGTTGTCCTTGAAATATATTAACCATCTGGCGTGGGGAACAATATCTCAGCCCCTCAGTTTCTCCCACCGCTCTTCCCGTTGACAATATTTAACATAAACCAGCACATGAATGTTCCCAGTCTTTGATTAAATGACTGAAGCGGTTAAACTTTATTTAAGGTATTAATACCAATATATACATTTAACTATGTACGCAAATGGCCTTATGTGCGAACCTAGGTAGCTATGATGACCCACTGGTTTTCCTGCCTGCTGCAACTTCTAACTTTCCGAGAAACTGTGTGTCTGAATTAATTTTGCAATTTTGGGATGCTGATAGAAAGTGCAGCGTTAACCAGTCGAACGTTGTATGACGTCTGGCAAGTGTTCCCAAATCAAAACAACATCGGCTAGCAACAACTACGCAACAACAAACTGAAATTAAGCAGCAGGGAGGAAAGTGCTGGTCAAGCCAGACAACCACAGGACAAATGAATACACACAAGACGTGTGCAATTATTAGCTATAATTCACTGGCCAATCGTTGATGTTCCAATCGCACATTGGGAAGAGAGTGAGCTTAACGGAACTGACATGCATGCAAGTAAACAAGATGACGACTTTGATGATTTGTGCATGGCCCAGATAAACTGGTAACTATGATAAAATGATATAGTGATAGTGACATTAGACCTGGTGCATGAGACACCTGTTACCATCGAAATAAAATAGAAAGAAGGTCAAATGTCGTTAGCAGGAGCATGGGGGTTTACACCAGATGTGAACCACTGGACAAGGTTTTGAGCGTATAGAGAACTGAGCAATTACTAAGGTAATTATGAGGGCCGAGTAATAGTTTTCCGGATACGCGCTACACAGAGTACGTGCAGATGAAGTGGCAATGACAGGTTGTATGCGACCATTAGATACACTACTACTGGTGTATTATACTTTTATAGATCCCATCGCGTTTGATTCACCGAGTGACATGTCATCACTACGAGGAATATCACTGACTATCTTCAGTCGAAGCACGGATAATAGCCTGCAACGAAACATGTAACTACTTTTAATAGCCCTGCTAACATACCTTCTGACTGTAGGACCACCTTCAACACTGTCGGTCCACTTCCTTTGTAGTTCGATGAGGTACGCAGTAGTGACAAGGATTGCGCTAACACATCATCCAAACAGAGTGTTTCACGAATATAACACCACTGTGCTGTATCATGGGTTCTTATTTCATTCTCAACACATGCTTCAGTTTCAGGAAAGCCTTGAAGAAGTTTGGTTCTGGTTGAAGTTTCCCTCCAGTAGTCTTGTAAGCTGCGGTTAAATAGATAACGCTCGTTCTATTGGATGTCTAAAAATATACGGATGGAGCAATGTTTATTTCTGAGACTATCTGTCGACAGTAGCACTGATTCAACTTCAGTGTTGGAGCTCAGCATAACGCGCAGAAGTCTTGCCTCTCCGAAATGTTTAGAGTTGGGGTGTCGCGTAATACGCACTACGTGTACAGGTTTCAGTAAAACTCCGATTAGGTTACTAATAATGTCCCACTGGTTGAGGTCATCCAACTGCCTGCCTCTTATTGATGTAGAATTTGATTCTGGAATATTGGAGCACAGTAGGCTCAGTACAGGTAGTTATTTTTTACACCTTTTACATGTCTTGGTTAGTGATGGAAATACTCGGAAATCTACCGCAGGAAACCAGTGGTAATTGCAATAGGAAATTTCCGCTCCGCTCTCGAATATCCGATCCATTTTGGGGGCGGTGTTCATTTTAAATGAAGGCTCTTTCTGTAAACAACCGTAACCCAACTTTTACTACTACCGGGTTGCTCTTTTTCTACACACCCTCAGGCTTATAAAAGTAGCCTTACGTGTAGTTACTCCGATCAAACTGGGAACCGCATTAGTCAAATGTGAGCCACGTGTGGTATTGGAACAGCAGTTGTTGTGCTGGGCTCTTCGTGTCGTGTTGTTTACGGTGTTACTAGTTGTTCTTCTCAGGATAGGGGTAGCACTTACGGGAGAGGATTGGATTGCACAGTCCGCTATGCTTACTCCAACCGTAGTGATGTTGGTGGTCACCATTTCCTCAAACTTGGCCAGTAGTCGGTCGAAGTTATGAGATAATAGGAACAGGCTTTTTATCCGTGGGATTGACGTGCATTCCACGCAGAACCATAGAGAATCTATTTGGTTAAATAATTTGACCTGACTAGGTTTAACTCGGAGGCATCTCGCATGGAAATACTTGCAACGGTTACGGCAAAAATGTTCCCCTTAACCAGTTTGAAACACGATCCACATAGGCTTTTAGACTGTGGCATACTGGGAATCGCGCTTGGTGAGGAAATGTTGCGAACCATTTGAATGACTCACCCTCTAGGGTAAAAGCTTTTTCCGTTACCGGCACACTCAGTGTTCATGTTGCAGTTGTGTGCTCGCCGACTTTTCTCTCTGATGTGTCAGTCTGATGTGTCGGCGTGAACTTGGGGCAGGTTACATGAGGATGTGAGTGAGAATTTTCGTGGTCAAGCCTAGGGATCGGGGTGGGTACATTTGCCTTGAGACCTGTAGCTGCTCCGCGCAATGTTCGATTTAAACGACTGGCAGTTCGATCGAAAGCCGTTGAAATGGTCTATCGTATGAGACCATACTCTTTCTCCGATGATTGGGGTTACGTAACTTTTGGCACTTGCACATCAGCAAAACAATGCCTGGCATTTAGAATTCAGTTTAAACATAGAATGCCCTGAAGTGTGTTCGAACAAATAGCATCACAGGGTGGAGCTTTCAGAAGTACAACGAATAAGTATAGATCTAAAAATGTGAGACAAAATGCCACTGAGACACAGTGAAAAAACTACGAGTGCACATGTGAGCGATTTCCAAGAATGTGGGCCCAAGCTCACAAGAAGTGAGAACTAATGGATAAGTTGTGTTTCTGATTACACTTCAAGTCTCCTCGTCAAAATACGGCTATAACATAGCCTTTTCTTTACCAACCAAGCACTCAGATGGCATAAACTTTTAGGCAGCACGCCAAACAAGCTTCAAATAACTGCTTATCAAGCAGCGACCAAGACGTCAGTCTGTAGCGATACTCAGTGGCGCACGTACTGTAGCAAGAACGAAGCTGCGAGAAAGCACTATCTTTATTGTACGCAACCACGGTTTCCACAAGCTGCGCGCAAGCGTGCACTTATCGAGCAAGTCTCCGTCCAAAAACGCACCATAAATGGAGAAACACAATGACACATTCCTGTGTCATTTGTCCGTAACTTAGCGGTACTTGACTGCCTGTCTGACCCTGTATCTCTGCTCCTATGGCTCACACTGATCAGCCTGGAGTAGTTCTAAGGCCGCTGCTTGGCTTGAGATCGCACACGTTATTCGACTTAGAGTTACTTTTGCATGCAGCGACAGAGTTTGCGCTCTGATCTGTTAGTTTTGCGACACATCTCTTTTCTGTTCTCCCTGCCTTAGGCCCGTTCCGTTTGTTGCTCCCTATCCGCTCTCCGCTTGTATTTTTGGGTCTGCGTTGCGCCGTCTTATCTCGTTCATAATGTAAGCGCCCTTTTCGGTCCTAGGGTGTTCTAGTGATTTTCTTGTCTTCCGCGTGATCGTTGCCTACCGCACCACTACAGCATGTTTGGCATCTTCAGCAGAAAAACCCAATATATCAAATTGACCCTTTGTCACCATACATAGCTTCCTGCATCGCTTCCGTTTCTGCAATAATGTAACAAAATATTGGGAAAAGGCGAAGTTGATTTTCTGTGTAGATACGTTTATTTTATCCACTACCGTAATACGTGTTATCCAAAATCTCGAACGATTCGCTTCACCAGTCAAAAGCTGCTACCTCAACAATCTAGCACACATGTAGGCTATAATGAAGCCCGAATAATTCACAAAGAAATATTAAGGTTTCTACAGCGCCTGATGCGCAAAGGTAGAGTGCGTGAGAACCAATTTTGCCGACGTGTGTTCATTGCAGGAATTGAAGTTTCCCATACATGTCCGGAAATTAGTCAAACAATTTGCTACTAATTTTGTGCAAATTAGCAAATCTCTCATGATGGTACTCAAAATTTTGGAAGTCGGGGTTATATGAATCATGAACAATTACAAAGTAACGGGAGTTTGGCCCCATGTGTTGATTAACATTTTTGATCAAACAATGTGGCAGAATGCAATGCTTTCCTCCGAGAAACAGCGCAAGTGTTTGTCGTCCCACAACGTACGTCCATGTTAAAGCAGGCTCTTTATCATAACCTATAGCTGACCATGGGTCTTTTCACCGAAGGAGGTCTGCGATTGGTTCACTGTTTCATTAAACGCTGCTCCACTAGCCAAAGTCTATTTGTCATCTTTTGTTAGGTATTCTTGTTATAAAAGCTATCTACATGACTTAGTGCCTGACGGGTGGCTGCATATTTTCTTTTCATGCTTGGACCAATACTGCGCAGCACCTCTTCCCATGTACCTAAATTTGTTGATTTGCGTCATTGATCGATGCAATGATGTTGCCTGAGTGGAAACATACAAACCGGTACTCTGACTGTCTGAGCTTCCGGTTACCACAACGTAATTGCAACCCGGCTATCTGAATCTTCATGACGGACACAAAACTACAAGCGCAAAGTAACATAGGCAGTTAGTCCAAGGAGAAACTCCAGCAACACAAAGAGTTACCAACTTCTATATAAAAATATTGTCCACACTTTATCGGACGTACTCACAACAACAGAAGAATACCACCCGAATGGTATTAAGCTAGCTGTTGCCTTAAAGTACTTTTACCCGTTTGTGTCGCTGCCAAATAACGTTATTACTACTTCGATAGCCACGTATAAGTATACCCTCAAGCCTACCTTCATTGTGTGATGAAGAGAATGATATTTATTGCTATACGGTCCGTCACAAATACCCATCACATCTCTCTAAATAAACAGCAATTGATTAACCGATTAGCAGGATACCGAATACAACGATATATAAAACGGAAATTAGGAACCACGTAGTAAACAATCTGGGCATCAGCCTACTTTCGTTCTACTTATTCCAATGCACTAAATAGGAGAAAATTAACACTAATTTGTTGGTTCTCTAGGTTTATCTTTCAAGAAACAGTCAATAATATGATCCAAATGGGCTGTTTGAACGTTGTGTTTACCTACCTCTTCCAGTCGCATAGTTTGGCACGTAGAAAATTGATTACAGTGGGCGAAATCTTACAGCTTTCGAATTTGATGCTACATAATACTGCAGTTTCAAGTTTGTGTCACTTGTTCTGTGGTCTTGCGGTGATGTTGCATCACAAAAGCCCCAACTAAAGTCACTATGTTTCGATTATAAGTGGCCGGTCGCATGCGCCTGTGACTGACCGTCAGCATATCCCCTAAAGAGGCGAACCTCGGACCTTAGCGCATTTTGCATCCGAGGTAAAATGCTCACAGAATTATACGTTTTCTTCCCGCACATACCGCGTAAAGACGATATTCGTGGTCCAGAACAGAGGAAAGGATGCGACTGCAAGCACTGATTGCTGTGTATTGCGTTGCCCACAACCTACATCCAAAAGCACAACGCCCAAAATAAAGGTGTACACAAACGGGAACTTAGTGACCTAGGTAACAGTTTGAATTATCAGTATACCAGAATATAATTTTCATAATCTCAAAAGCAGAACGTTGTGTACATGCACGATGCCGTCAAATATATGAAATACAAGTTTTAAAATTGTCTATCCCACATTTGTAATAAAATGCGAGAATTTGATTGCAATCTAACTTCTAAATAACTGACCGCTTTCAGTGTAAAGGAACGACGAGAACTAACAGCCAGCTTGAGTTCCCATGAAAATCGACGTGGGTTTCGTACTCAGCAAAGAATATACACAGGAGCTACATTCCCAAATCCATCCTTATACTCCGATTCTATTATATTCCATATCCATTAAAAACCTCGTCTGGCTAAATGAAACTGAGAAAACCACCACTATATCGTTCAGGAATGATTGAAGCACATGATGCAACCGCTTCACATATATAGGCACCCACAAGCTTGCCATTATATGCACTCAGTAAAGAGTAGCTTGCGAGTTACCCACAACTTCACCATGACCTCGGTAACGAAAGCAGAGCTTTGGCCATCCTGATTTGCTCAAACATATCCGACTTTTATCGTTGACAGTAGCACCTGCTGAAATGTTTCACTCCACAAATCTGTAGGGAAGTAGCTGTGTATGACTACGGCAGCGTATTATTTGAGCCAGTTTTGTTCCCAAAGTTTCACTACTGGTTCAAAGGAAGGATAGTATTCGAAATAGTTAAAGGCTTTGGCTGCTTTTTGATATAGCGGAATCCGGCAAAATAGTTCTTGTCGTAAAATGTAAAGGTTGATAAGAGATGGACAGCTTTGTTGTCGTATTATTCAGAAGTGGATGATGAACTTTTGTATATCGATTGAAGCTAGACGGAGATGAGGAGATAGTTTAGCCTCAACTGAACGGCCATACTACTGATCAGTTTAGTTCATCCCCACACAATAACAGTCTGCAAACTCTAGTGGGTAGCCCCCTAAGGTCTATCCTCCAACGGTGTAAAGATGCCAACTTTTATTATGTTCACTACGCAAACAAAAAGCTGATGGTGCTAAGAACGTAGTCCAAAATGGTGAGCTATAGCTAACATGTTGCTTTTATTTTTCCCTTCCAAATAGTACCACTTAACTTAGAAATCTTAATGGTAGTCAGCAGTTTAGCAAACAAGTAGGTGGACAGAGGCTTTAACTTTTGGGATGAATGTTTTGCCCTGTTCGAAATGAACAAATTGTACTTGATTTGCTTAAAATATGGTGTTATTCCGCCGAAAACGTAAAAACAATCGCCACTATATTTACAACATTAACAATGTACCTTTTATTTTAAAGGCTATATTCAATGCTATATTCTTATTTAGTAGCATTTAAATGAATTGTTTTGCCAATTCGTCTGCATTCATGACATTATAGCCAAAATCACGGAACGACATATGGCCATATATTTCGGGTAGTTCTGCATTCATAGCTGTGTAAATTGCTATTACGAAAGTTTTCTCATTTGTAGCGAACCACAAATCTAAGATGGTCGTTTTGCACGGCTCTTAAGTATAGCGCTTGAAACTTTACGTTTATTCAGGACAGGTTTGAAAAATATGTCCTAATGCGCGACCGGAAATATCTATCAGGCCAGAGTTTGACGACGTGTTAACTGGAGACAGTCTGAATTTTTCCCCTCAGACACCTTTGTGACTTTCTTTTTGCTGTAATGATCTTTGTTGCCTATATGAGATATTACCACAGTAATTTAATTTTGCTAGTTAAGATGGTAACGGTTATAAAATGTGGCACCATAACTTGGTGTGAAGGAACTTCTGACGAACGTTTCTAACAAACTAAGCTAAATTTCATTATTGCTTTTCTGAATGTTAAGTAAATTTTGGTAATGATTTCTTTGAACGTCATTCTAACGGTTGTATTCAGAGGTCCATGTCGGAAGTTGACAAGCTAAAATTTCGACCAAATCATCTGTCATACACAACTTGTGTATTTCTGTCGGTCGTTTCCATGCTAAATTGCTTCTGTGAGTTTCATTCTGGTACACAAAACAAATCTGTCCTTGTTAGGAAGTCTAACGTTAATACCATAGAAACGGAGAAAAGCACTTCTGCAGCACAAAAAATGTCTGCTAACAAAACTGATGTGTACCAGCAACTTGACATTTCGAACTGCCTGTGAGCATAGCTTTAGCATACAAATCACAAACTTGTAATCGTACAGAGTGAGCTCCAAAGAAGCAAATTCATAATTATTTCAATGGAATGGTTTATAAATTTGATGGTCTCAAATACAAGGAACAATACGCACCATACCATACGCTAGATAAGTAGAACCTATTTTAAGTTTACATGGGCTAGAACAGGATTTTCACGGATTGGTAAAGAACGAAATAATCGACTTTGTGCCCGCAGCAAGCAGTGATACTTGCTGCCCATGCAGGAAATAAATGTACAATATCAGATTCGATTTAAGCTTTTGCTATACAAGCGAATTGTTCGAACATTGGCCAATAAGATAAGTCGTATTTGGAAGACTGGCGGCACCTGGAACCGTTTCAACTGGTCCCTAAAGCTAGCTTAGCTGCTAACTGCCAGGTAACTATAGGATTACTTGATAGCTCTCACCATTTTACCAGTTGGATGAAGTAGATGCGTGGTGATTAAGTTCATTCACAACTCCCTAATGAGAGAAACGACGTTCTCTTAACAATAGAAACACAGTTTTCACAATTTGCTGAGGTGAGAGCATGCGCATTTTAGACCTATACTGAAGAATCAAAGTGACCTATGAATAAGTGTCCAGATGCCCATCGACGGTCCAAAAGGAAAGTTTTGATGAACTTCTTTTTAATTCCTTTCGTTTTTGCCCCATTGCCTTTATAAAAGAGACGTACGAAAGTTGACCAAGCAAGCATAAATAATAAATGTTGCGCGTTTATTCTAAGTAATTGCAATTAAACATGTGCCAAAGGAGTTGTTGCCTGGATTGCTACCGGTTCCCATTCGCTCTAATTGCTTTCTTGTCAAATATAGCTATCTGTGGAAAATACTGCCTTTCGCGCTCATGTCAAATGACAATTTGGCAACTATTATAAGCATACTCTTCAACTGCCTTGATCTAAATACCATAATCATTATATTCACATGGGAAAAATCTCGATTAGCTAGGCCAAGAAGGGCCTCGAAACATCTAAACACCAAATTTTTAGTGTATGCTTTCTATTCAACCTTAAATCAGAACGTACTTATTTGAATCGCAGACCGAAATATTGTACCTATGCATACCGCCCATACAACAGTATAAAGATCTTTGTACAAAATGATTCGTGCCGTTACAGACACAGTTTCTGCACAGCAGAAGTACATTTATTGTCATTATAACTTATGTACTAATCGTTTTGGGTGATTTCAAGTTTCTAGTCAAAATCCCATTTAGCTGAATGTGGCCATCTTCATGAACATTTTGCGAGTAATCTTGCTGAAAATGAAAGCACAACCTTCCAGTGAAACATCAAGAATTAAGTGAGTATTAAGTCACTTTTATTATTTTATCAATACTAGACTTTTATCTTTAAGTTAAACAATCATCGATACTAGAATATTGTTGCTGTGTAAATCGCCTTGTAATTCAAGGGATTTCGACGCAAAGAAATGGGTGTATTCCCAAGCGGAGTGGTTTTAACTGTTTTACTATATCTCAGTAAAGTTATTTTTTAGATTTCAGTACACACAAAAACATGTAGGCTGCATCTGTCAGACAAATCGTGCCATCGGTATAAAAACAAACTATTAGCACTTTTTCGTGTTTGACCTATTTTGTTTTCATACACCTCTGCTTGAACATAATTGCATCAATGACTAAGTTATTCACTGTTCGATTAATGGAATTGCCACATTGCATTGATAACAGTATGTCCAATCGCGTTGGATATATTCTACTGGTGGCATTAATAGGACAGTGGCCTAGCTCTCAGTTTGGTAACTTGGTTTTTAGCTATTGCTTGGGCAATACCCGCCGTTCAATAGCCACATAATTTCTATTTATCCTCAAAGTATAAACATGGAAAACAAGCACGCGAGCACAAAGTAAACGTAACTGGCATACATGTAAAGCTCCGGAAACATTATATAAAAAACTGGGTAAATTCTTACATGCCACCCACAAAACTTCACTTCATTTTGTTTTGCTTCTGTTTTCAAGTTTAGTCATTACTCACACTGATGAGTGATGTGTGGCTTGAATTCTAACAAGTATAAGTTGCTACTAGTATTATATGGGTCGGTTATTAGGCATGAATAATATTGCATCGTTGTGTTCTCATGTTTTTCGGCAAATATACTACATTGTGTTACTCTCTTCTATTTACACGAACAACGTAGAATATGCAGCAGTGCAGTGAGGATACCTTTATTGCACAAAACAAATGGATTAAATACTATTTCATTTGGTTTTCCCTTGCGGCCTCTTGTTCTTTCCAGGACGTTTTTGAAGTCGACATCAGTCCTAGTGCTCATCTTTGGCCTTTATCATGTAGTTTTTGTACCACTGGATTTGATGGAATCTCAACACGGTGCATTGCAAACAAGGAAGCTGGAGTTAATAAAGCTTTATTACAGACAAGTCATGGAGGCACTTCAAGTAAGCAACTGAAAACGTCTTAAGAAAGGATTACTTTTGACATAGCGTTTGAACATGGCGGTAGTTCGTAGTGTTTTGTGCTATGCCAACGAACGTGATTACAGAATTACCATTTCTTGAAAAGTTTTTACCGCAGCTGACGCAATATTGCACTTCGTATTTTTGTTGTCAAAATAGCAACGGACGACATATTTTCGGTAGCATTGTACACATCAACTTATAAAGTTATATAACGGCTAGGGAGAGCTAAGAACTATAGTTGAAGTCCTTCGAAGCTGGCTATTGACGAAAATATTGTTCGAGAACAAAGCTATCCGCAGATACTTATCAAAGAAATGCAAAGAAAATACAATCTTTGCTTACCGATCTCAGTTATACAAAGACCAAGCTAATAGAAGGCGAAACATTACTTTAGGTTTTAAATAGCAACCCGAATATATTTCTTTAGGTATCCACATTTGGATGTTTGACTTATTGTGCACTTTGCAAGCAATAGTCTTTCCATTCATTTTCTCGATATAAGCTTAATATAGAATAAAAATTTTGTATTCTGGATATTTTGGTTATTATTCGGTCAGGAGAAGCTTGTATTTTAGCAACTTCTTACTCTTGATCCAATAGATCTTTACGGATATCCTAAAAGTAAGATGCCTCAAAACCGACTACTACAGATGGGATACATCATTTTTACTTTGGTTGAGCAATTTTTTTCTATGCTGCAACAGCCTTTCCTCTGTTTCACATAGTCCAAACTCAGTGTAAGAGGACAAGGTGTCCGCTTGGAAGGAGTCAATGAAGAGATAATGGATAAGGGACAATCGAAACAAGTAGTAAAGTCTCAACTACAAGTAACTATGAAACCAGGCTCATGACGCACGACCAAGTGTGTTAGCAGAATAAGAATCCCCTATAAAGATAACACATCTGAAGCGGCCAGTTAGAAAGTAACCAAAGAAATCTTAGGCTGGCTAGCTTTCTAACAATGTTAATCGCTCCGTTCAGCAACGTTGCTCTTGAAGTAAATACTTTACTAATATAAAATTACGGTTGCCTCTAAGAAATTGTATGCAGACTGCACGCTTGCGCGTAAATCAAGCTATGAAAGAGTTGCACCCAAAGGCAGTAGAACACGAAGAACGTATGTGGTTTATGACATCAAACGGATTCTACTTAAAGGCATTGCTAAGACTTTATGCGGCAGTGGTGTAGTTGCCAGGTACTGTGCCCGAAATCGACTGGGAAAATGTTGAGATCACTAGAAAAGGAGTGCGATCAAAATAAATGTTAACTGCTGAGGCGAAGGAAATCGCCAAGGCCATTAGCTTATTGAACAATATACATGGGTAAACATCGCAAATGTATGGTGAGCTAACCAGTTTGAACAATATTGTTGGACCGGCTAAAGTAGGAGAAAGAACAACGTCGTCGTCCTCCATATCAGTACCAAAACGAAGAAAAAGGCCCTGAGGCTGAATGCACTCCGGAGCTTCCTCGTTCATTGTGCCACGTGGATGAATCTTTAACCGTCTGAACGACAATGGTGATGACCCATTAACTGACTTCGTTGCTTGGGATTAGCACTCTAATCGGTTATGCAAACTACACAACTTATTTATCGATTGAACTGGCTTGAATAATACGCTGGGTTTGAGCAAAGCCTTGAAACCATATAAGCTTATACAACTTTTCTATTATTCGTGATCTTCCGATCATTTAGCATTTCCCCAATTCAGAAACGATACCAATGTTCTGCCCAACCAAATTTTGCTTAAAGCCAATTACATGTCCAAAATGGGAATATGCACCACAATACAGACTAATACTAGCAATACAAAACTTAACACCGAGACAATAAAAGAGTCGCAGATAGATTTTCTTGATATAATTTTCATTTCGCAAGCTTAGACTCTAATAAACAGTTAAAACATATCCGGAAAAGCATCAAATAGCTGATTCGTCTTTCTGGGAATCGTTAGCGATGCGCAGTAACTTTGTTTCTTGTGGCAATTAAACTCACAGTTTTTGATAATGAAAACTGCGCACCGTAGACCACCACTAAAGTGGTTGGACTGGTGATGTGTTTCTTCCAACTTTCTGTCTGTCTTCCAGCAAATTGCGGCATGCCCTGAACCAAATGTTCGGTAACCTGAGTTTTAAATCACCTATTTCCCCGTGGTCAATATTCTTGATAATGGTAGCAACAGTGTGAAGAAGCTTTAGTAAATGTAAACTTTAGATGGTTGCCACTTATCTGGTTGGACCATGTGACGGTCCCGGCATACTCAAACAGTAATAACTCGAGAGTAGTGGTTGTTACGCAATCCTTAGTAATCTAGGGGATATTTTGCGTGTTTAAACTTTTACCTAGCACTGGTTTCACAGCTTTTGTGACAAGTGTGATCATAATCTGTGGAACGTCTGAGATGGATACACAAGTAATCGTCGTAGTTAGTAGGTTCCGTGCAAAACATTCTTAACAACAGGGGAAGCAGTGTTTTGTACCAATAATTTTCAGAACAGATAATATCCGCTTCTTTTATGCCTACAGAGAGATATGTACATGCTGGTTTATCACACCTAGGGTAAGATATGTAGCCACCACACATCCAGGAATGCGCCATGCGGCCGGTTGGTCCTATTAGGACTAGTTAATAAGGTCTATACGCCGAAAACTGCAGGATCTGAACGCAAGCCTTTACTCTCACGAGTCGCCGACTTATAGCACTGTGACATATGTGATGAAGAATAGCTCCAAGTGCAAAGTAATTCCCCGTATTACCCATTACTATCAACAATCATCTTAAAACGTTACCTACGAGCTCGCCTGATGACATCCTGTGAAGGAAGTCTTAGACCTGGGGGCCAGCGCTGTCGTCTGCACCCTCATAACATGCACAACTGTGGAGGATGTGCCTCTCCATTTCGCAGCGAGAAATCAGTCATGGTATTCCGTCGCTATCATGCATCCCTCAGTGACACGATTCACTGGTTGGCGTGAGTAAAGCATTTAGTTATGATCCGGAAAAATACATATGCTGCGCGCTACCGGTGAAGCCCAACGGGACGAAACAGCTATCTGGCGGTTTTCTGTACGTGTGATCTCTGTCTGCTTGAGCATTGGTACCAAGAATCTTCCCAAAACCACCACCTTCTAATAATACTTCGGTGTTGACTGCTTACGAAACTTCGCTTCACGATTGATTTTGAACACGATTGTACTAGCCACTTGGAGATAATAGAGACACAAGAGAAGTGCAACCAATCATAAAACCTGCCAAGAAACACTTTTTAAGACCAACTTGCACTCATCGGACTGAGTGAGCCGAAATTCCAAAAAATCGTAATCCTAATTAAAATGGGAGTAATAAATCTACAAGAGGGTGTCAAAGTAACCTATAAAATTTGTGGAGTTTTCCAGAGTTACCTAAAACCTAAAGGAAAATAGTTGTACCAAAAAGCCAATGCTCAAGTGGCACTCTTTTAACATATTACGGTGCTAAATAGCAATCATATCTGATTGATGATTCACTAAATTCCAACTAAACTCAATCAGGCAAAGGATACTTAATGCGGAACGCTATATATTTTATTATATTTTCGCAAACTGTTGATGATCTACACACAGGAACTTAAAATAATGTCCTCCAAAAATTCTTTTCATTTCAGGGTTTCTGTGCTGCGTTACTTCTATGCTTCACGAGCAGAGAGGTAAGCAAATTTAGCCGTGAGTGTTTGCACATCCAAAGTGGAAAAACCCAGTCCGGTTTACTTGACCGAACTTTCTGAGCAACCCAAATGCATAAAATTTAGAGTCTTATAAAGCCAATCTGATATGAACTAGAGATATGTCTGAGCAAGGCACTAATATATAACACATTAAACCTCATTTACCATGATAAATAAAAACATCTGGCAGCTTTCTAGTATTATGTACAAACAATTACATTTTGGGTAGTTGCAGCAGCATTTCAATCTTATGTAGGGAAACCGGTACAATACGATAGTACATGAATTGAATTACATACAATAAGGTTTCTCTTACGTCAGAATGATGAGCTCATATCGGTATTCCATATAAAAGTTCCGTATACATATTATCACTTAGCTCGGCGATCGGACTAACTCTATGACGTCGTGTATCGATAGGTCGTAGATAATGTGTTATACATAAAATAAGCACTTCATTTATGGTCGAATATTTATCTGTGGAAGAAATTGGCTGGCTGTGTGCTACGATACAACAAAAAGTATGTAACTCGTTTGAAATATCACTTGCGGGAAATCAGGATTAGTGAGGTAGGCTTGAAGTCTCTATCACTCCCAACGATACATTCTGAGTGTACTTTCCTTTGTCTGATGATTGTATGCGGATAGGTGGGCAGGTTCATGTGGCCGTTTAACGCAGGCTAATGTCAAAATGAAATGGTTAATGAGCTCAAACAACGATTGTACTGGGAATCGAATACATTTTATGTCTTGGAGTATTAGTTGTCTGTTCTGACTGCAATGTGTATTGCAAGGAGAGAAATTTCCAGTATGACATCTTTTATTGCAATGTCATAAGGCCAGTTTTCCCAGATTTGGAACGGAACATTTAACTAGTTTAAGATTAGAACCAAAAACAATCTATGGATGCCAAAGATTGACAGTATACAGAACCACTTACCTGGTCGCAGAGGGGATATTTTTGATTGTTTTCATTCAGCATCCACTCAAAGAACGGTAGGGACGTTCATTGACTCAGAATACGCGATTACCGCTCCCCGAGAAACATCAGCAGCGTGCGAGTATGCAGTACTGATGCTTTGCCGCCACGCAACTACTAACAGTTGTCCGTGGGCAAAGGATGCTGCGAGGGAATCTCGGGATCCTATGCAGGCTCGAACCCGCGCTTTTGGATTAAAAGGCAGGTTTGTGAACTTTAGTCTAAGTGATCCTACAAGTTTATCACTTAGTTCCCTGCACGTTTTTTGTCATGGAACAAAACAAAACTGGCGTATTACGAGCAAAACATAATACTTAACAAAGCTCTTGTAGTGTGAAGGATTGCGAAAAGTACTATTGGTGGGTTCGCTATAGTGTTCGCGTGGAGACTTGGGTAAACGACCTTAGTGCACGTGTTTGGACGTTTGGAAACACACGGTTTGGTTACGTCATGTAACGTACAGCTAACGCAAGTCATACAATTAAATACTAATTGGACCACCTTACATCAAATCATTTTCTAATTACTGTTTGGTGAAGAGCAGAATCAGCATGAGCTGAAGGAGCGTTCCGCGGATGACAGGCTCAAAAAAACAAACTTCGATGGCATGCAGCCAGTCATAATGTATTGTCAGTTCTAACCGCTAACTTCTCAGGTTGATGTTGTGGTTCAGTTTCAGCAGTGGGCTGCAAAGATGGTATTGGGCAAGCCGTTATGAGGTCCCTCACAATCATTCTTGAATGCCTTTCCTTGAGGTATCTCGAGAACATCAAGTTAGTTGTTTGCTACAGTTGCGAAGCTTGGATGACGTATTCTACGTCTAGCCCTTGTGAAACATTGAGTAGTCAACAAGACTCAAAGCTTGATAAACTGGCCGAGATCATCATGGACAAGTATACGAAGGTCGCTCTTCTGAGGAGCCTACGGTAAAAGTGTGTTCCCTAAGTTTGTACGCGCTCCCTAGCTGATGATGCATTGGTATAGCATTGCCATTAGCCACGTTAAACTGGAGTAGGTTTCTCGTTGAGAACTCATTTACGCAATCCAGGTCACGTTGGAAGAAATTGTGATCTCCATTGTTATTAACTGCTTGTCATGTGTCAACGTAATCACAGTATTGGCGAGACATACAAGTGACATGACATGTGAGCGGTACAAACAGCGACTGTGCAATCAACTCATCAATAAGTGAATTCTTTTTCTCAGTACGTAAAATATGTCCATTACTTGGTGAATTCTGTGGACCTGCGGAAGCCGAGCTAATATGTGCAGCATTCATTTGGCTGTTGTAAACATTAGGATGTGTTATTCAGTGTGTCATGAAGTTGTCTTAAAAAGGATGTGTAGCGGAAATAAATTATTATGTGTCGTTCTAACAGTTATTCATATTATGGAAGGTTTAAGGGGCTACCAAGTGCAAAGGAATTTTAGCATGATCCTTGAACTAGTGATAGTACATAAAGCCCAAGCAAATTGAGGAAAAACCAAAATAATGATGATACTAATAAAAATAGAGTATAAAAGCTAAGCAAGTAAAAGAGGAGGATCATATTTGCATGAGGATGAAACTCATTAGTTTTCACTCGGCCTTATATCGGGCTAATCATGTGGCTTAATCGGTGATTGTCACATTGAAGAACGATCAGTTTGTTGTTGCATTTTGTTCATCACCTCTAAGTTTCACGCCATCTTATCAATTATGAATCTCCGTCGCACACTTTCTTAGTAAATAAGTCGGACAATTGTATGACAGAAGGTGAGATTAATGTGCATAGTTATTGCAGATAAGTATATCTAGCTGCACCACTATATTTTTAATGTCTTTTTAATTCGTGTTCCACCTGTCCGCATGATCGTTTTACACCTGATAATTGCCGACGGGAATTTAACAAGTAGTTGTCTTGTTTTCAATTATTCCAAAAAAATAGGTAATTTGCGAACTCAAACGCTACTACCGAACAAAGCAAGTTCAAAATGCGATCTACAATCCGAGTCGTCACGGTTCGTATGCCGGCACGGGCAGCAAGCGCCATCTTATTAATCCGAACAACCCGGTCACACAAAACACACAGCCGTCGTCGTCGGGCTGCTTTCGTTACCGAGACCTATACAGAAACATCTTGAATAAGGAAAACAAGGTGCAGTCATTCCACAGGCCTTCTGGTCCTCGAAAGCCATCTGCACTTTGTATGCAACAAGAACCGGCTGTAACCCGAGCCAAGTCGCAATCGGATATCACGAAATCTTGAATTATTATGTTTGAACACAGTATCCTGTAACTAGTGACGAGAGTAAATAAAAAATTTATTTTTGGCAATTTATTCCTTGAAATGTATTAAAATGATTTGCTGTTTGCATCTCGTTTTAGTCAGTCTTATTTTTATCATTCAAGTATTTGCTAAAAGTGGAGTCAAGTCTGCTGCCACGATCTGCAAGCCGAAGTGGCGATCAAAGAATCATTAAATACTGACACCACCGTTTCTATAGTACAGACAGCTCGCATCACTAGATAAGTTTTACATCTAGTCGGATCTCGGTGTAACCAAGGTTACATTCTTCGGTACATATATCCTTATTTAATCCCCGTTCACCATGATATTTTGGTTGATAGTGACACGAAAGTATTTCATTTTTTAGTTTTAACCATACTGAGAGGTCAATCTTGTAGTAGCGTAAAAACTTAGCAGCTGAGCAAAACTCGATAGGGCCAAAATTTGAGATCAAACTTGTTGAGATAATACCATTTTTACTGCGTCTGCATGACACAAACGCGTACGATGTTTGATAGCGATGGGAAGGTAAACTAGGGCTGCTGCGTAACCAAGATCATGCTAAGTAGCTGGGGCAATTCGAAGGGAAAGGTACCAGTTTATCTACCCGCGGGTGATATAAAGTGACCAGGGGATAAAAAAGAATGTGCCTGCGGAATCTGCGAATGTGTGGCTGCTTGACCTTCTAATGCAGTGTACCTGTTGTTGACGGTAATGTGCTATGCGACTACGCTGTCCGGTGTGTTGTTCTCTTCACTTATTTCACTTGGATAACCCCACAAGTTCGGTTAGGTGCCATCTATCCTGCGCTTCCAAGCTTTTGAAGCAGAATTAGATATTTTATCATCCGGTTTCACATTAGGAAGTGGTACTTCTGCTGATGCAGTTCATTCTAGTAGCTGTGACTGAAATTGCACTAGTTCAACGATTATGTAATCGTTGAAAGGAGTGCGCTGGTGAGTATCTAACATGATGTTATCATCAGCGTCTAATAGTAAAGCACATCTGGACATCGATGCAACCATACGTTTCAGCTGCCAGCCTCCAGTATTCAGGAAGAAGTTGCAACTAAGCGTGCTTCCACCGTTCAGACGAACTGAAGGCTGGAAAACTCTCCTGTCTGAGTGAAAACTGGACAATAGATCTTAACATATAGTAATCCCGATGGTGTTTCATCTGACGATGTTGCCTTACATAAACCAAATATCTTGCAAACATTCCATCTAAAATGCAAGCGTTAAAATCGTTTCCATCGGCACAAATTCACGCCCAAATTATAACTCTTATGACTCAAGACCGAGAACGTAGAAGGTTTGGTTATTTCATTAATCTCATAAGACGTTGACAATCCTGCAAAACAAATAGCAAGAGCCTAAACAGTGTATGAAATAAGTGGTTAAACACAAACACTAATGACACTGTTGTCTAGATAACACTGAATCTTCAGAACTGACTCCGCGGTTTTATCCAAATTGTGTAACAACTCCTGCTGCCTACTCAAGAAAGACCAAGTGGGGTAAATCAATTCTAACGGTGTTAACCACAGCTAAGTTTCAGCGGTATGTACTCTGTGGCAACTTGTGACACCACACACAGCTTGAGCCAGATGGCTATTTTCGTTTGGTGTCTGCATACAGAGGTGCTTTTTACCTGATCAGCCTCTTGCTAATCCTGCTTTATTTGTCGTATAAGCTTTAAACGTTCCATTCTATCCGCCCAACAAATGCAAATTTAATAGATAAGCAGAATGTTTTCGCATTTTACTGAAAAGAATGGTGTTCAGCCCATTAAATTCAGCGGCCCAGAGAAATCGACTGTATAGAGCATTGCTTTTGTACTAATAAGTGCATTATCACCGCGCCTTACGTCAACATACCAATGTGAGATCCTTGTCAGCCAACTATATAGGAGGGATGTTCAAAAAGAAACCGAACGTTTGATATAACATCTTTATTGCTCATTGCACAACATCGTAAGCAGTTTTCCTCTCAAAACAGTCCCCTCTACCGGCAATACACCGGTCCCCACGGTGTTTCCATTTTTGGAAGGCCTCCTGGAACGCACTTTTCGAGACAGATCGCAGGTCTGTTTTTGCATCGTCCTGCATCCCCTCTCTGGTTTGGAAACGACGTTCTTTCAACGAGGTTATAAGTTTGGGAAACACGAAAAAGTCTGCTTGGGTTAGAGCCAAAGAGTACGATGCATAGGGCACAACGGGAGTGATGTTTTGCAGGATGGCTGCGGACAAGGAGCGATGCTCCCTCCGGCGCATTGTCATGATGCATCATCTAAGTCTTGTTTTATTTCAGTTCAGGTCCCCTCCTGAGCACAGCATCTCACCAACGCGCTAGAATTTTTTGGTATGGGCCTAAGCTGATGCCAACTTCATCAGCAACTTCTCCAACAGTTAAACGATGATTTCCAAGGATCGCAGAATGAACTCTATCAACATGGCCATTGTCTGTTGATGTGGACGTTCGTCCAGACTTGGAATCGTCACCCACCGACATTATGCTCTGTTCAAAACACTTACATCACTTATATTACTGCGTGGGACTCAAACAGCCCTCGCCGTATGCTTGCCTAAGTAATTGAAGTGTCTCAGTAATTATTTTGCAAAGTTTGTAGCAAAATTTCAAATACACGCGTTGTTCTTCAAACACTTCCATTTTTTCTTTGGTACTAGTCCGACGAACAACTTGTGCACGTGCAAACTTCCGCGGCTGTGACTCTTCAACTAACAATCAGGGTGAAATATGGTAAATGACAGTTTGTCTAAACAAGCCTCCACATACGCTCTGTAGCCGCAGCGCGATTCCTCTGTCGGTTGGCGCGCTATTTCAAAAGTTCGGTTTCTTTTTGAACGCCCCTGCTTATCTGACGGAACATAACGGTCTGTTGCATACAGCCACACAACTCCTACTTGGTTTTTCTGAGTTAAACGAGTGGCATTTCTCTCATCCAAAACTGCATGACAGTGCCATGATGTAATCACTGAATTACTTCAAGCGATGATCCAAGTGGGAGTTAAAATCACCCTTAAGACCAATTTTGACGTCAGCCGGAATCTTTCTTTGGCTCATGCAAAGTAAAACGAAGATAAAACTCAGCGAACATCCGCTGATCTCTAGGGGTGCAAAGAAAGTTCTCATTAAAGCAATATGGACAAATTCATGTGGCTTATTTCACTCATTGCAAATGGCCCAGAATAATTAGCTGATAGGAACATCCTGACGGAAGTACGCAACTGGAACCTCATGACACATTTTACAACATGTATCGTCGTATCCATCAATGCAATTTTCAAACTTAGGACTTGGTGACACCAATCTCGTTTTTTTTGTTATCTTTTTCAGTACAGCATGTGGCTGAGAATTCAAGGCTCATTATCCGCTAGAGATTAGTCGAATGTGATGCATCACATAATCTGCAATATTATCGCTTTGCTCCCAGACTTCGTCAAGTGCTTTACGCGATGGAGCACTTCGAACTTCGCATTGTCAATTGATAACGCTTCATCGAGGTAATTTGATGCAAACAGAAGATAGCGATCAATACAGATAACATATCTGGAGCAATCACCTTTTGGAAATAAAGATGTCGGTTGAACGCCAATTGCATGGACGTAACAGGGCAATATGAGTGGTACATTTGTGACAAGCAGGGAAGTAGAACCATGAGAAGAACATGGAACAACACTTGAAACGCTCAACGCTATGCAGTAATAAGTCGACCGCGCTCTCAGAAAATAAATTATCAACGTGCAACGGTAAATCAACTAATTAATAAACGAGCAATTTGCTTCACTCCGAGTGGACCTAAGTAGAAAGCCGTCGAGTACAGAACACAAGTGAGGATAAATCTTATCATCTTGTACCCAATGAGATAACATTGTTTGACAGAAGGCTTATTATTGTTATCACTTTGTTTTGTTGTCTGACCAGTGTGAACGGTTGTTTACTTATTGGTGTTCATCAAAAAGCATCACTCGGGGACCGTAAAAACATGCATGTGAGGCCAGCAAACTGATCTAGTCTAAAACATTGCCAACAGAAAATTTCCTAAGCATTTACCAAGCCGACTAGAATGATTGATGCCAGTCTTGTTAGCTTTCACATCACTCTCAAAGCGGACCTCCACGGTCGAGGTCATTGGTCATAGATCAGCTGAGTTGACGCTATAATCATTGACTAAGAGTGGATGAATGTGAAACTATGATAATGAATTCGGTGAAACGCGATGGTTGCTCTGTAAGGGCAGAAAGTCAGAGATTTGGAGTCAGCCGGGAGAAATGATATTTTCACAGTTGCGTGGCCTACAAGAAACACTGAATTCGTCCTAAAAATAAATTCTCCATTTGATACATAATGTTCCTATTCCCAAGCGTCGTCGCTATTCGCATACAGAATTTCACGTGTATGTGCCTTAAACATCTGCATATTTAGATATTTGAGGCCGTTACTTTGAATTATCCTGGGCATTCCAAGGTCATGACATTTCAAGTTTGACGAAAATTGATTACTGAACTGCTACGCTTCAAGGTCCCTGTAGGAGGCTGAACGCGTTACCGAGTTGGCTGTAATCAGTATGATTGCATACCTTATGCTATATCTTCTACTATCCTTAATTTGCAGTATAAAGCACGGTTACTAGAATTCGTGGCCTATATATCTAACCAGACCATACATACAGTCGTTGTTTAGCACCTCGCAGCCTTCCATTTAAGCTTCGTAGAAAGTGTATATTATAGGCTGGGTGCTCAATGCAGAAAGTATACTTGCTTGTGCCAATATCTTAAATTGTGTACTCTGTGAACCTAGCTTCACGTAAGACTTGGTTCCCAGGATAAATAAAGAAAAAAGCAATGTAGCGTAATTAGTAAAACATGGCTGTATAACAGTACTTCTACATGTATGACAAAGACTTACGACTAGATTTGCAGACGTGGCCTAAATATTGGTCAACAGTGAAACAAAACA